GAACTCTTCTTCCCTCCTTGGAAAAACAAAGCTTGAGCCACTCTTTGAAGATAATTTTAAAACTCTGAAAAATTATTTTTGCAATAAAGTCCAGACCTCAAAGCTCAATAGCAGATGGGTCAGGTAGCAGGCAGGAAAGCAGCTCTTTCCCTCAATGTCTAGTTTTTTGGTTTTTCTTTCTTTTTATTTTTTTATTCATTTTGATGAGAGTTTACAGACTTTAGATTTCCATTCACTTGTTGTTGCACTCAATGTATAGTTTTGTCTTGTAGGAAGAGGATCAGATGGGGAGGTTGAAGATGCAGGTTCTGGCCTCAAATTTCTGTCTAGCTCTGTAATACACTGAGTACCAGTATCTTGATCTGAAAATAGATTTTTGTTAAGTGTTGTTGGGGTATAGTAGTAGCTCCTGTCTAAGCCTGCTCTAAGGACCCGATGGAAGACCTGTCCAAGTAGGGTCCATGCTTAGTTCATTGTCCCAGTCACTTATCCTATCTGGGTCCCACTGGCTTGAATACATTTAATTGAATTGTTAGAAAATAAACAGGAGAGGGGAGGGGGCAGGGAGGAAAATGTGCAATAATGAATGAATGGAAATCCAAGTTCTTCATAAATTTACAATAAAATGTTGGTTAAAAGAAAATAAAAAACCCAAAACCAAAATAAACAGGAAAAGTTTTGATCCTTTTTGTACTAACACCTATTAGCAAAATTTGACATAGTTTCTTATTATCTCCTTTAAATAATTCCTCCTGCCTCAAGTTGGCTTCCAGGCTCTCCTGGCTTTCCTCGGCCTTACTGGTTGCTCCATGTTGTTTTCGCATATTTCCCCAATCTGTGAACACATCCAGTATTGACCTCTTGATCTTCTCCTCCAGACTTGGTCCCTCTGTTCCTCACCACCTGTGAACAGTAACTTCCTCCTTCCAGCTTCCAGATAAAACCTCCTACCATCATCTATGATTCACTCCATCTCCTTTCTCAAATTCAATTTATCAGCTAATCCAAAATCTCACCCCCTCCGCCATTCTGAACCCTGCCCAAACCTTACTCATCTTCCTCTTGGATTACAGCAATATCAATCAGGATTTCTTGCTGTCATCTCATTACCTGTCTTCAATGATCTCTTCTCTGCACAGAAGCCACATCATCCTTTAAAAAAATAGAAATTAGATCACCACACTCCTTTGTTCAAAATCATCCTATGACTGACTACCTGTCTTATTCAGACAAGAAAGCTCTACTAGGATCAACTGCTACCTTTTTACAATTTCACCTTCCTCTACTCGCATACCTCAGGACCTTTGCTGATGCCTCCACCCCTTCTTGACCACCATATTTAAAACCACCACCATCATCATCAGTCTTGGTTCTCTCACCTCATCTAGCAAACTGGGCTTAATTTTCTCCCAAACACTTATCACCATTTGATACTTATTTTATTCATTTGTGTATGTGTATATTATCCTGGAATCAGGAGCGGCATCCACTTTTGCAATGGCTTGCCTCTGGAAACTCTATGTACGAACAGTGCTCAGGCTGTTCGTTCATAGGGTCGCTATGAGTCATCTACGACTCGACAGCACCAAACAACAACATATGTAAATTGTTTGTGAATTGCTTTTTCATGCATTATATTCATAATGTTTATCTCTTTCTGTTAGAATATTCACTTAATAAGGGCAGATATTTTTGTCTTTTAACTGTCACGTCTCCAGAACACAAGGTTTTGGGCACTGGGGAGATGACAGTAGAAAGAGCTCTGGAGCAGATAATGGTGGTAGTATTAAGTCACAATAGTCTCAACCCCTTAGAGATTACAATGGCCTTTCGTAGCTCAAGTGTCCATAAGGCCAGCTCAGGTAGTGAAGGCACTTCTGGAGATTACTGTGGGCCCAGTCTTCCACTAGATTCTGTTGTGGTAGACAGATAGGCAGACGAGTGTCAGAAGTGGTAAGTGCCCTCTGAGAGCTGGTGACCAAGAGAGAGGTTTCATGTATAGGTGAAGAGAACCTGGGAACGGGACAGCGTTTGTTAAAATGCCCACCATCTAATGCTTTAACATCTCACGTTCTGCTGATAATGCCAGTGACTCATAGATCATGGCTTGTAAACTGACAGGGGCTGTTTCTGTTCCGGAGAGTTCCCACGCTGTCTTCCTTATCACTCCAGAGACACCTTGTTTGACTTCCAATCTAATGGGCTCCAAGGTCCTGCTACTGGCCCCCTCCACCCAATATTTCCTTTTAATTACTGTTAACTGGAGACTCCACCCTCTCACAATCCTTCCATATTCTGTTACCAGACATAGGAAACCTGGGGGCAAGAGTGAAATCAATTAAGAAAGGTTGTAGCATGGTGTAAAGAATCTAAATATTCATTCCCTTGCAATGTTGTTGTTGTTATATGCCTTTGAGTTGGAATTGGCCCACTGCTGACCCTCCAGTAGGTTTTCCAGAGGTATTAAATCACACAAGATTACCTGTCCTCGCATTTGAACTGCGAGCTTTTAGGATTGCAGGGCAACTTCTTAACACTAGGCCACCAAAGCTCCTTTTCCTTGTAATATGATTTATGTATTTCTCTACATTTGAACCGAGTTCAGGAGCTGCATCTACTCCTTTCTATAGCCTGGCAGCCTTGCTCAGGAGGCGGCATAGATTGGACACTCATCATAGAGATTGGATAAATAAAGTAAAAAGATACAACCCTGGTGCGTGTTCTTCCTAATAGTAAACCATGCTGTATCCCCTTGTTCAGTTCAAATGATTGCCTCTTGTACTATGTACAACTTCTGTAGGAGGACAATTAAGTATTCTAGAATGCTTATTCTTTGCATTATTATCCATAATTTCTTTAAAATCTGTAACTGCAAATCCAAAATTATCAAGATCTGAATTAGAAGGGACACTTTCCATTCACTACAGGACTTTTCTGAGTAGAACTCCCCAAGGATGTCCAAATTTTAGATGGATATTTAGACAGATTTTAGGTAGCTCTTTGTTTAAAAGAAAGATGAGGGAAACTTAGAGATAAAGCATTTAAACAAGCAAACAAAAACACCCCACTGTCAATGAGTCAGTTCCAACGCACAGCAGCTCTCCGCGGGGTTTCTACGGCTGCAAAGCCTCAGGAGAAGAGACTGTCCATCCTTCCTTCATTGAGCAGTTAGTTGGTGGATTCAGACAGCTGACCTAGTTATCAGACAGAAGCCAAATATTGGTGGTGGGTTCTTGGATATGTTAGTTGTATACTCTTGATTGTTTTCCAATATGTTTGAAGAACTCTTTTCTCTCATACCTTTATACCACATGGACACTTTCACTCACAGACAAGATGACCTAGCTCATGATTGGTAAGAGGTCCTACAAGCAGTAAGTATGAAAACAGTGGGTGAATAAACCCTTCCCCTCCTTTGTTACCGTTTTCTACATATGTAAAATAGGAACAAGAATGAGATGGCTTTGGCCCTTCCAGTTCTAGCATCTGCTAGAAGCAGAGGGGAAGGAACTTTTTACAGTTTAAAGACTTTCTCTTTATAAAAGATTGACTTCCTTTAGATTTTCGAGTTTCTTTATTACATTTAAAATATTATTTGAATTACCAAAATTTGTTTTCCACATAAATTTTAAGAACAAATAAAGAAGAGTTTACCATACTTTTATTATTAACAAAAGCAATTAGCATTTATAAACTAGATACACTATGACAGTCACTACATATTCAATAGGGAGTTCTGGTGGCCTCTTCAGTAGGGTGTTGTGCTGTCCACCAACCCAAATGTGGGTGGTTCGAATCCACTAGCTTCTCTCTGGGAGAAAGATGGACAATCTCCTCCCAAGCAATTTACAGCTTCTGGAAACCCAGGGGAGAGTCAGTTATGAGTAACTTTCAGCTCAACAGCGATGACTTTTGAGTTTTTATATATTTAATATTCCAGGCACAAATAAAATGCTTTATATGGATTATCTGAATGAATCATCTCAATAATCCTAAAGAATATAAACCAGCATTATTCCTACAGCTTCTAACTTGTCCATGATTACAGAATTAGAAAATGGGAGTACTGGAATTGAAACTCACTTTGATGCAATGTGCATTAACCCTATATCTCCCAGGTTGGCTGGCGGCTGTGTTCAGTCGGACTTAGTCAGCTATGGGGAAGGAAGGATTCTTGGTAGAACAAATGACCCACTATATATATCTTTTTCCCTTCATGAACACTTTGACTTCAACTTAATTTGTGGCATAGCATGGTGATATTTTCATTGAGAAATGCTTTTGGTCTTTCTCTGCTTGAGTAATAGTGGATGTCTCTAGTTAATGATTGAGTGAGCGGGAAAAGGTTTAAATTTGTTTTGAATTCCTAGTCTAGTTCTTCTCTTTGTATTCATTTCTTTAGCTTTAACAGCATACACAGCAAAACAGTGTTCTTTTTCAGCAGTGTAAGGTAGGCAGGAGAATGCTGCATGCTGGGAAACAATAGAGAATTTCACATCTCTTTAAGGACACTTCAAAAGTTTTGTACCCATTCTTTTCACTTACACAGAACTGTTATGACGTGGGAAGACAGGGATTACTTACCTCTGTCGAATTAGACAGAGGAATTAATTTGTTCTGGCAAAGACCTGGTTCAGAGCCTCCCCCATTGCGCCTTCTCCATCAAACCTCCCCCTATGTGAATACGGGGACATCAACTCCCCACACTTCATGGCAAGTAGAACTGAAGTCATGAGGACTGTAGCACAACAGAGTGGCTGCTTCATAAAAGTCAGCACCCGCCATCTTCCCCTTCACACACCTGTGTGAGGTGATAAAGATAGCAGAATTAGCCTGCAGCTGTGGTCCAGCCAGATAAAGCATTTAGGCGGGAAGCTAAGCGACAAGTGACTGTGTGTATGCGTGTGTTTTAAAGTGTTAGTTACTTTGGACTTTTTTTTTTTGAAAGCTCCTAGGCTGCTTGTGGACATCAGACTAAAACGGGAAGGAACTGCGGCAAGATGGATTTAAGAAAGGACCAATCGCCACGTGGGAAGGCTCACCAGACACCTGATCCTCATTCAGGTAAAGAGACTTTACAAGGCAGTGGCTGCTGGGAGGAATGCGGGTGATGGTTAGGTGACTATTCTTTTTTTCAATTTGGCACAAAAAGGTTTGAGTATGTACATAGAACATGTGGAGGATTAAGGCTGTAGAACTTCCTGAGGCCTGCTAACACTATGAGTCTAACAAGCCAGAGAAACACAAGGAAGCAATGAACAAATTGTTGATTAAAAAAAGTATTAAAAGATAATGATCATGCCCAATACTGAATGTGTATGGAAATACATCTCTCCATACCTATCCAATCTGTATGCCAAGCAAGTTATCTGAGAGGCTGGACTCTATGAGGAGGAGAGTGGCATCAAGATTGGAGGGAGACTCATCAATAATCTGCCTTATGCAGAGGAGACAACCTTGTTTGCTGAAGGTGAGGAGGACTTGAAGCACTTGTTGCAGTAGACTTGGTGCCTCTTTGGAGGCAGGAAAATGGGGCTTCACCTCACACACTCTGAAGATATTGTGAGGAGGTGCTATTCCTTGGAGGAGGACATGATGCTGGGAAGAGTGGAGGGTCAGCAAAGGAGAGGAAGACCCTCCGTCAGGTGAATTGACACGGTGACTGCTGCAATGGGCTGGCGTGTGTCAGGAAGTATGAGGATGGTGCAGGAGAGGAACAGGGTTCAGATCTTTTGTTCTTAGGGCTGCTATGAGTCCTGGTAGATGTGAAGGCACCTAACAACAACAATGGGAATGTAAATACATCCATATGTTCTCAAGCTAGTATAAATTTGGTATAACTGTTGGAAAGAGATGTGACAATGATTAGCAACCACTATTCTTATTAGGTGCCATGGAGTCGATTATGACACATAACTATGAACAAGAGATCTGAGCCTTGGGCTTTGAAGCATGGCACAATTGTGTTTATTCTCTCGACTCACAAACCCTACTCCTTGGATCTACACTAAAGCAACAGCTCTCAAATGGTTTTGCTGACTTCTAAATCTTGAGATACCCTAAGAGAAGGCTTTAAACTTTTTTGTGCCACTCTGATGAATCCTATAGACCCCTTCTTAGAATAAAAAGAGCCCCAAACAAACACATAGGAACCCTTGCTTCAATGGCAGCACATACCCTAAAATTGTAACGATATGGAGATTAGCAAGGCCCCTGTACAAGTATGCCACAAACATTTGTGAAGTGTTAGGTATTTTTCCTGATGAGAATATAATTTTGAAATACTATTTTCAGTAAGCACTTAAAAATGGAATGCATTAACCTAAATCAAATTACCTTTCATTATATCTGTGTCTTGCTAAATGAAATTCTTATGAACATTAAAGAGGACACTTTTTGGGGGAGGAAAGAAGAAATTAAATAAAAAAATAAAGGAAAAGGAATATGATAACATACACTTATCACATTAAAAAAGCATTGTGATCTGGTAATAAAAGGTTTGCATATACGCTAAACAATGAGATACAGCTGTAGGTCTAAAACTATATTAATGGTAAACATAAATGATATTCCGAGGTATTTGCAACAACTGCTATGGGATATGAAAATCAAGAAGTTTCAGGTACTGGTAAAACCACTGTGGTTTGTTCCTACTTTCATAATTGAAGGAAATGGTAATTTAAATTAGAGGTTGGTAAAAATAGAGATGCAATTATTTTCCATCGCTGTCATAAGAATAGGAGCCCCTGGGTCATGCAAACAGTGGATGGGCTCAGCCGCTCATTCAAAGTCAGAAGTTAGGGTCTCCGCATAGGCACCTTAGAAAAAAAGACGTGAGGATCAACTTCTGGGGGGGGGAAATTAACCATCTCGTGGAGCATAATTCTATTCTGGCACACATGGGGTTGCTATGACTCTGTGAACTCTGTGGCAATTGGTGGTGGTGATGTCCTTAGTATAAAATGTACCATGGTCAGACTACACCCTCTGTCCTCTACTGAGGGTGACAGTGTAGATTAACATAGTAAAGGCTCAAAAAAAGGCTACTTCAAAGACTCATTAACTTTCCTCAAATTTATTTATTTATTTATTTTTTAAATTAAATTTCATTAGTTTTAATGAACATTTACAGATATTTTGGGTTTTCATTCATTCATTGTTGCACTGTTTTCTCCACCCTCATCCCCAGTTCGTTCTTCTTTCCCCCCCATGTCTGTTTTAATTGTCCAATTGCCACAGTGCTTGTCAAAGCCAGTTCTGATTAATCTCCTTTGTCAGTGTGTCCTTTGCCATTCCCTATCACTCCTCCCTGAGAGAGACTTCACCCTGATTCATAAGGAAAAGGGGATGGCGTATTCTCTTAGCTACTTCCTGCTGAAAAGGGACGCTGTGGGTTTCAGGGTGAAGGTCTTCTCTCACTACTCTAAAGGGCCCCTTTGGCAGTATTTCTTCAAATTTATAAGGCAACAGAACTTTTTTTATGATAGTAACTTTAGTATGTTAAAGAATTTGGGCAAACACAATGCTAAAGAATGCATAAATATGCATATTACAATTTGATCTACACAACAATTCATTGCCCAAGAAAAAGTCAAGCAATTAGATAAATAATAATATATCGACTTGATTAAATAGCAAGTATGTTTAAGACTGTACAATAGAAAATATTTTATATGATGTTAGATTAAAGATATACAAAATAATGGTATGCTATTAGGGCACAAGGCCAGGAGGGGCAGGTCCTTGGAGAAGGACATCACAGGAGAAGACCCTGGATGAGATGGACTGATACAGGAACTGGGGCAGTGGGAGGAGGTGTGTCAGCATAGGGCAGGCTTCAGAGCTATTGTACATTGGTTTGCAATGAGTCGCAGGTGACTGGATGGCATATAACAACAATATAGTTGTTGTGTTGAAAAAGAATTGATGCCTTTGAGTTGTGGTGTTGGAGAAGAGCACTGAACATCCCAAACAAACGTGTCTTGGAGAGAATGCAGCCAGAGAGCTCTTTGGAGGCAAGGATGATGAGGCTTTGCCTCACATACTTCAGGCATGTTGCTAGGAGGGGCTGTTGCTTGGAGAGGGACATGATGCTTGGAAGGGTGGAGGATTGGCAAAGGAGAGGAAGACCCTCAACCAGGCGGATGACATGATGACTGCCACAAACGGGCTCTAGTGTGTCAGGAATGAGGATGGTACAAGGCAGGACAGGGTTCAGATCTGTTGTTCATGGGTTGCTATGAATCATACTCGATTTAACGGCACCTAACAACAACATCGTTGTTCACTGTAGTTGAATCAGAACTGACTCACTGCTGACCTGCAGTGGGTTTTCAGAGGCTGTAAACCACACAGAAGAGCTTATTCATCTTTCTCCCTGGAAGCAGCTTATAGATTTGAACTGCTTGCCTTGGATTTGGCAGTGTATTTCCTATCCACTTGATGTTAAAACTCTCGTAATACAAGGGCTGGATGCAAATGAATAAAAGGAAGGCAAGTTAAGAATGGCAGAGCATGGATGACTTCTTTTTCTTTCATTTGTACAATATGTACAATATGTTACAATATGTAACATCATAACAGGGTGATAACACATTTACAAACAATCACTCTGAAGAGTTGTCTTCCAAAAGCAGGAGGGTATACTTACCCTGCAGGTGAGATTGTCATGAAGGAGGCTTTCCCTGGGTGGGCCTTATCCTTTGCATTCTGGATGTGCTGACCCCCGCCATTTCCCTAAATGTAGGAAATTCAACTGCTTAGTTTGTGCTGGTGGGGGTCTGCATTTGTGCTTTCCCCTGGGGGAAAAAATTAAAAGAAGGGAAAAAACCCCAACTGGGGGGGAATCTTAGACACCACGTGGAGATTCTATTGCCTTTCTATAGGACTCTTCCCTGCCCCCCACCCCCAGTGGTGAGAATCTTTGTTTTCTTGATGTTGAGCTTCAATCCATATTGAAGGGTGAAGTCCTTGACCTTCTGCAGCAAGTATTTCAGGTCCTCCTCAGTTTCAGCAGGGAAGGTTATATCATCTGCAAAATGCAGGTTGTTGATGAATCTTCCTCTAATCCTGATGTCATATTCCTCCTCATACAGCCCAGCCTCCTGTATGATCTGTTCTGCATATAGATGGAAAAGATATAGAGATAGGACACATTCCTGGCATACATCCTTCCTGATTTTGAACCATGCAATGTTTCTTTGCTCTGTTCTGACAGTTGCGTCCTGGTTCAAGTATAGGTTTCACAAGTGTTCTGGGATTCCCATTTTTTTTTTCAGTTAGCCACAGTTTGGTTTTTGGGTTTTTTAAAATTAATAATTTTAATGAACATTTACAGAGATTTTGGATTTCCATTCATTCATTGCTGTAACTATAAGACTCTTTTTTAAATAAGACTTTTTTTATTGATAAATTCCATCAAGCATCACTTTTCCTGCTAACCGTCTCTCACTTTGGTCCTACAGAAGTCATTGGAACCAGGTGTTTGCGAAACCGGGAACAACTCAGGAAAAGAAAAGCTGAAGCGCAGGAAAAAGAAACCTTCCACTGGCTGTTTGGGTACAGTATCATTGGACATCATTGTGGGGAGAGAACACATACTCTCAAATGAGCGATGCTGTGTTCCAAGTAGTGCTACTTAAAGTAGTGCTCACTTCACAGATGATGTTTCCAACCAGTCCAAGAATCAGGCACTGTAATCCCTATTTTACTAAGAAGGGAAACTAAATCTCTGGTGGGTTAAGGCTCACAGAGTAAAACAGTTGTTGTTGCTGTTGAGCAGCATCGAGTTGCAACTGACCCATGCTGACCCTCTAGCAGGTTTTCAGAGGCTGTTCATTGCACGGGAGGAGATTGTTCATCCTTCTGCAGAGCAGCTGGTGGACATGAACCACGTGCCTTCTGGATTGCAGGGCAGCTTCTTGCCACTAGGCCACTAGTAGAGGGAACACAATTTTATCCCTGATCACTTTTAATTAAAGCATCAGACAACAGAGATATATTGGCCTCTGATGACAGAGACATATTGGTGACTCAGCTTCTCTCATAGAAACATATTAAACATCATGTTGTTAGGCGTGGGGCTTACCAGTGAGGAAGCCTTCCACCAGTTCTCTATGTCTTCTGTTAGTGAAATCTTTATCATATGGGTGACAAACTCTCTATAGAGAAAGACAAAACATCATCTGTACATGAAGAAGCAGAAGAATCTGAGGCATCCTTGTATCTCCATTCAAAGTCAGCTGTATGTCATCTCTTGTAGGGAGCACAGAATAGGGTGACTATAAATCAGGCAGCATCCACTCACATCTTAAAATGCAGCTGTGAACAGAGTGGTTTGCTTGACGATAGAAGGGGGATTGTGCAGGGCTGGAATTGTAGTATCCATCTACACCTGGATTTTGAGATTTCTATACTGTGGGGTCTAATGGTGCTGCAATTCCAAAGGCATACGGTTCAAATCTACCAGCTGCTCCTCGGGAGAAGGATGGGTAATCTCCTCCTCTGTGATTTACTGTCTCTGAAAATCTGCTGGAGGCTCAGCTATGAGTCGATCCCAGCTCGATGGCAAACAACAGTACTGTGGGCAGGGCCATTCTGGTGGTGGAGGAGAGGCCTGTGCATGTGGCTCAGCAAGGTCTCTGACCTCTCCTACCAGCAGCACCCCTCCCTCCAGTTGTCACAATTAAAAATGAGTCAAGGCGTGGCTCAATGTACCCTGGGGGTCAAAATCACCTGCCACCAAAAACCACTGGGCTAAGCATTCTTCTCAAGAGTTGCCTTTAAGCCCTGTGATAGTCTTGGTGGCATAAAGGGTTAACTGTTGGGCTGCCATCCACAAGGCCAGCAGTTTGAATCCACCAGCTGCTCTTCAGGAGAAAGAGGAGGCAGTTTTTTGCTCCCACTGAAATTCACAGCCTCAGAAATCACAATGAAGGGTCACTGTGAGTTGGAATTGACCCTGTGGCAGCAGGCTTTTGTTTATTTTCTTTCTTCCTTTTTGGTTTATGGATGAAGTATTTTGTCTGTGAGGCTGCAACACAAAGCTCAGTTATAACATGTTTCTGCAGCACCAGATGGTTCTAAACCCATCACAGGGAAACAGATTTCTACTCAGCAAGCCGACGGGACAGAGTAGACCCTGTCCCACGTGATTTCTAAGGCTGTACATCTTTCCAGAAGCAGAATCCTACATCTTTCTCTCGCAGGGCAGCTGGTAGGTTTGAACTGCTGATCTTTTGGTTAGCAGCAACACCTTACCTACTGTGCCATGAGGGTTCCTTTAGCTCACACAATAGGAGAATGGAATCAGTATAACTCAGCCATAATGTTATTTCATGATTTTCCCTACCAAGTTGGATAATAGTGAGAGTAGAATGAAAATTTTATAGGAAAGGAAAAGGCTGTCACCTTGACTTGCAATATGTAAGCAAGAACCTTTTGAGCAGTGTTTTATGACAACTGAAAACAAATGAGTGCTCGAATCCAGAGCACCACCCCACCAGAGTAGCTCACAGCGGCCACCCCACACAGCTGCCCGCAAGTGTCAGGCTGCACTTCCTCCCGTGCCCGGCTTAACCGCAGCTACCCTGGCTCAGCACGACTCTCTTATTTGCATGACCTCAGCATCTGCAAGCCACATCTATCAGTTTGCAACAGAAACTATCTGTTGTGTTGTTGTGTTGTGTGTTCGTCCTGTCTCCTTCAAAACAACCTTCAGTCACATTTACCTGTTTGGATTATCCAAGTGAACTCTGCTAGTACCAAGGATCATTTTTGTTAGCCATTTAAAACTTGCATAGATAGGTTCTGAGGCCTTTGTGCCAACTCTATTTCTCCCCTCTACCTCCAGAGACAGTTATTTTTCTGGAAAGTGAGTTCTTTTTAATTTAAAAATCACAATACATCATGTTATAGGAGAAAAGCCTGTATTCGGGTTCTGTGGCTGTAATTATACAATTAGTTCTCCTACCCACCAAGCAACCTGGAAAATTTGCCTATGGAAAAGCAGTGCTTTCATTTGCTAGCCAAAGCATTCTCTTCTGTGTGAGTTTGTATTTCTCACTGGGCTTTGGGTTTATACATCAGTCTCTTTGTACCTGGCTGATGTGCTCAGCCTCCTGGAACTGGACTGAGCGAGGCTCAGGGTGCGAGGCTCAGGGTGCTCACAGAATCAGGGTTCTGCAGGGACAATGCTGAGATGATCACCCTCCTGGAGCATGCCTTGGCGAGCCTCTTTGCCCCTGGCTGCTCTTGCACTGGTGGCACGCTTGTATACTCCTGCAGGCGGAATACTCACTCCTCACTTGTTGACTATTTTATCATCTGACATTTTAAACTGACGATGATAAAAAAATAATCTACTATTTTGCACATTAATGACATGTCTAACAGTAATGGATGCTTAGGTGGAAGGTGAGAAAACCCCAATGATGGTTAAGGTTGTGTGTCAGGTTGGCCTGGCTGTGATTCTCAATGATGTAGGAAGTTATGCAATGATGTAGCCAGCCTCTGTTTTGTGATCTGATGTGGTCATCCTCCATTTTTGCACACCTTGGTCTTTAGAACCAATCATGTCAGTAAATGAGGGGTGGGCATAGCCTCTTTCACACTGTTATGTACCACATACTCTCTGGTGGCCTAGTAGAAAGAATTGAACTGCTGATCCAAAGGTATATATTTTGAATTTGTGGGAGAACAGATGCTACATGGAGAAAGATGGGCAATCTCCTCTTGTGTAATTTACAGCCTCCGAAAACTCATTGGTTGGTCAGCTATGGGTTGGTGTTGACTCAATGGTGTGACAACAACATCAAAGACAAGTTATCACACACAGTGATAGCTTAGTACCAGAGAGAGGCAGCACAGTGAAATGGTTAAAGCCCAGCTGGTAAAGCTAGCGTAAATAGATGTGAAACCCGGCTCCCTAACTTCCTAGTTGATTAACCACGTTCCTTAGCCTCTTTCTGCCTCAGTTTTGTCATCTGCCAGAGGGAGATAACAACAGTATCTACTTTATAAAATGATGTAACAATTACATGAGACAGCAAAAGGTAATTAACTTACAGCAGTTCTTGACACAGAGGAAATAGTGTGTTTCCTATTTTAATATCAGAGAACCATTCCTGTTTGTAGAACTTACTCATATAAGTTATTAAATATGATTCTTATAACAACCATGTGAGCTTGGTGAGATGAGCCCCCATTTTAAAGATGAGGAAACTAAGTCATAAGAGACTTGCTTGCAATCACAGAGTCGATAAATATTGGTCTAGATAGACCACATGGATATATATTAACTTATTATTATTGAGTGAAAGCTTACTTGACAAATGGGTTTCATGACATTACATGTATGTGGCTATTTTTATATCTCTCAAATACCAGGAAAGACATGCACATTATATTACTCAGGTTCCCTTATATTGAGATCTGCATAGAAAATTATTTAAGATTTAATACCTAGGGGAAAAAATGTGTCCTGAAGAATTCGGATATACTATTGTTTCTTTCTGGCTCTAATGTGTCAGGAGGTGTGAGGATGGCTCAGGATAAGACAGGGTTCAGATCACAGAGTTCGTAGGGTCGCTATGGGTTGTATTTTACTCAACGGCACTTAAAAACAACATTGTTTATTTTTAATTAATAAGAATGTTATTATTAATCTCATTACCTTGGTTGCTTAGAGTTATAGTTCAAAATAATGAGTTCCCATAACCATCTTCTTTAGACTGCCTCTTCTACATGATTTTTAATATTTTTTACTGTATATAATTTTTATCTTGACCCTGTGTGTATGCAATATATGTTATTTATTTGGAATTTATATGTTCTTATACATCATCAAGTCATAACTGACCCTCCAGCAGGTTTTCAGAGACTGAAAAGTACTCAGGAGGAGACTGCCAGTTTTTCTCTCTCAAAACAGCTGGTGTATTCCAACAGTCTGCCTTTGAGTGGGCAGCACACCACCTTAATCACTAGGCTACCAGAGCTCCCTATCTGATATATGTTCTTGTTATTGTTATCTGTCATCGAGTCACCTGGAACTCTCATAGAGACCCTATGTTCTCTGATTGAACTCTGCTCTACTCTGAGCCAGTCTTACTGTCTCCCATACACCTACCGCCATTACCCCAGTTACTGTGTCAATCCATCTCATTCAGGGTCTTTCTCTCCTGCTTTGTCCCTCCACGCTTCCAAGCATGATGTCCCTCTCTAAGGACTGGTCCGTCTTAGCCACATGCCCAAATATGTGAGACAGAACTTCAAAATCTTTGCTTCTAAGGAGCAGCTTGGTTTCACTCTCTCTAAGACAGACTTGTTTGTTCTCTTGAAAGTCCATGGTATGTTCAAGATTCTTCTCCAGCACCACAACTCAAAGGCATTAATTAGATGTCTAAGTATCATATATACATATATTTGATACTGGCCACAGACTGGTTTTGGTGGAATGATCATTTTAAAAATGAAAACCTTATCCATCATGGATATTTTTAAACACAGAGAAAAGTAGAATATACTAGGATATACTTTTTGAAAAATGTATAAGACTCTATGAGTACTATAAGGGTTTTTGAAGAGACTGGTTTTCTCTCCAGGGAACATCAAGTTTACGAAAGGAAATGAGGTCTCCTCTGAGATGAGGGTCTAAGGCAGGCTCCGCACAGTAAAGGCTCCAGGAGCTCTGAGCAGAAAGCACTGCAGCAGGTGGTCCCGTGAAGAAGGCTCTGCAGAGCAGGTCGCATGGAGCAGAATGTCAATAGGCTTAGAAAAACGATGAAATGCTTATTTATAGCATCTTTTTCTCCCTTCTAGCCCATCTGTATTGGCCATCTGTATTCTGGTTATATCTGCTGTGCCTAACAATCTTCACTGGCTATAATTTCCATGCATAGTCTTTAATCTTTTAGATATTTAACCCAGCCATTAATTAGCAGTAGGTATAATATGGCTGCTCGTGCCCTTATGCAGACTTTATAACCTTAAAACAGTGTGTGCAGCTTCTGACACAGCTTACGGCACACGGTGCTTGCTGTGTACTAGAGCTCATCAGCATTCTTCCTGTGAGACACTGCAAAAGACAAGCAAACTGTACACATCATCCACTGCACGAACAGGAGTCATGCCTGGGTGGGTCTGCAGCTTTGTGGAGCTGCAAACCCAGCTGTGTATCAGTTTACCCAGGGCTCAATGGGCTAACTTACACAGACGAAACAGAAAGAGACTAGTGTATAAAGCAGAGTGCCAGCCTAGGAGCTCTGGTTGCCTAGTGACAAGGAGCTGCACTGCAATCCCAAAGGTTTCAATCTACCAGCTGCTCCGTGGAAGAAGGAAATCTGCTCCAGTATGATCTACTGCCTCTGAAAACCTGCTGGAGGGTCAACAATGGGTTGGTTCTGACTCGAAGTCACGCAATAACAACAACCTATTTTTTAAAAAAAACATAACTTGTGTATTTATTGTTGTTGAAAATACACACAGCAGAACAACTGCGAACTCAGCAACACAGATGATGCATGTCCAATTCAGTAATGTTCTTCAAGTTACACAATCATTCTCCCTCTCCTTTTCAAAACTGTTGCTTCCCCATTAGCACAAACTCACGGGCCCTTAACTCTCTGTCTGCATCTCACCCACTGCTGTCCAGTCCATTTCGGCTCACGGCAAACCTGAACTGGGTTTCCATGGCTGTAAATCATTAACAGGAGACTGCCTCATTTCTGTCTTGTGCAGTGGCTGGTGGGTTCAAACAGCCAACCTTTCGATTAGCACACCAGCACAACACAACCCAAACATCTGCCACCAGGGTTTCTTTCCGTGGGTTCAAACAGCCAACCTTTCGATTAGCACACCAGCACAACACAACCCAAACATCTGCCACCAGGGTTCCTTTCCCATAGAATGCTAATCTATTTATAACAAGAGTGATCATTTTTCATAACCAAGCTTTCATGTTACTTCTCTGTCACATATACACATACATACACTCATACGCCAGAAGTTTCCTGGTGAGTCAAGCCTCAGAACCCCTAAATCCCAGAGGGCAATGTCTTCTCCTGGCCACTGACAACATCTGCCACCGTTTATCCTTTTATTTTATGATCAAGGAGTTTGAACCTGAAAAGGTGAAGTAACACACACAAGGCCACACAGCAGGAAGGCCTGGATATGTTACTAGCGAGCATCTGTTTGAATTGTGTAGCCCTGTTGCTGACACTGACTCTGATCTCTCCACAGGGAACACAAAAGAAGTAAGCGGCAGAGAATGGAAAAAGGAAATGAAAGTGGAAGAAGGAGGCAACAAGCCACCAAGCTGAAAGTGGAGCCTCGACCACGAAAAGGAAAGAAAACGGTGGAGGAAGTGTGGGAACGTACAGAGCGAGAACCTACAGAGCAAGAACCTGAGCCCTGTGGGAGTGCCAGGGACGCCTGCCTTCCCGGAGCCTCTGAAGAAGGCGCAGGAGCTGATGAAGACTTTTCTGAAAGAGGTCAAGAAAGTCTTGTTTATCAGGAAAATTGTTCTGAGTCCCAAGAAACAGGGGCACAAAACCACCTTTCCGAAACAGGCCTAGATATGGCTGAACCTGAGGTCCTCTCTTCTGAGACGTGCCAAGAGACAGTTGTACTTGAAGACTGTCCTTCCAGAATGTTCCCAGATGTTGCCGAACATGAAACATGCCAAGAAACACCTGTGCTTCAAGAGTGTCCTAGGATGGGCCAAGATATGGCCGAACCTGAAGTCCTCTCTCCTGAGACGTGCCAAGAGACAGCTGTACTTGAAGACTGTCCTTCCAGAATGTACCAAGATATTGCTGAACCTGAAATGTGCCAAGAAATAGCTGAGTTCCAAGAGCATCCTCCTAGAATGGACCAAGATATGGCCGTACCGGAAGACCTCTCTCCAAAAATGTGCAAAGGGAGTGCTGTACCTGCAGCCCTTGCTTCTACAACATCGGAGGATACAGATGACCTGGAAGGCTGCCCTCCTGGGCTATACCCTGAACCAGAAGTGCCTGAAGATGACCCTCTTGAAACAGACCAAAAACCAGCTGAGGAGTGGAATTCTGAACTAGACAGAGGAACAGCTGAGATGGAAAGTGTCTTTCTGAAAATGCCAGATACAGTTGTGCCCAAAGACCTGTCTACCAAAACAGACCAAGAAACAACTGAATCTGAATCCTTCTCCCACAAAACGTATGAAGAAATGACTGTACCTAAATCCCCTTCTCCTAAAACCCTTCAAGAAACAGCTGAGACTCAAGAATATTCTCCTGAAATATACAAAGAGACTCCTGAGCTTGAAGACTATTCTTCTGGCACAAACCAGGAGGAAATTGAGCCTGACGAATCTTTGTCTGAAGCATACCGAGAAATGCCTAGATCTGAGGAAAATTCACCTGAAATATATCAAGAAACATCTGAGCCGGAAGACCTCCGTACTAAGCCATATACAGATAGAGATGTGCCCAAAGAATGCATTCCAGAAGCATATGAAGAAACAGGCGTTCCTGCCGGCCAGAACCCCACGGTACACATAGTACACCAGGAGGAGACTCAGGATGCTTCTACTTTCCCTCAAGGTAAGGACTGTTTATTGGAAACGAGACAACAAGAGCCAACACCACTTACTGATATTTCCCATTTGGAGTCACAGCCCTAACTAGTGGTGGGATCCCCACCAGAGGGATTTTCAATCTTACTTGACAACCTCGGGTTCTCTCCAGTGATTGGGCTAGATTTAAATGAAAAATGCTTTTCCTTCAGCCAATACCTGTCTGGCTACTTTTCCAAAAGCTTAAAAGAAAATAATTGACATGGAATACTATGCAGCATGCAGGAGCAATAACTTTGTAAATTACTGCCTAACTTGGGAGGGACTGAAGAGCATTATGCTGAGTGAACTAACTTGGTCCCACAAAGATAAATATTGTATAAGACCATTATTGTAGAATGAGTACAAGGATCCAGGAGGGATGGGAGAGGCTGGAGGCAGAGGGATGTGGATGTGCAGGGGAAAGAGGGGATTAATCATTGGGTTGTACAATTTGATGGGTGGGGGGTGAGGGAAATGGAAAGAATTTGTTCGAATTTTCATTAGAATTTTGAAAATAAACTAGTGAAAAACATACACACACACAAAAAGGGAAACTAATTAAAAATGCAAACACGTAGAGTAGGTGCCTGTACATACTATACATTTTGAGAAACTGTAGTCAGTAAGGGAAGTAAACCCATTATAGGATGAATTACATGCAAAACACTTTACAGGACATCTAAGTCTAGATTAACAAAAAGCTTGGTGAATGCCATTTCCCCCACCCCCGGAAAATGTAATATTGCTGATAAAGGAAAGGTGAGTACATTCATTGTATAAAGCCAAGGGAGATACAACTCAAACTCCACTCATTGCCAGAAGATCCAATTATAAAAAAAGGTCCAGTTGCCAGGGACTTCCATTCCTTTCAGATTTATCAGGTTTACCAAATTCCTTTTTAGCCAAATATTTATTGCTGGAAAGCTTCTTTCTCCTGCCTTTCTTTGAGCAATCACTGACTTTTGAAAAATCACGCAACTTTTCATCTTGACAAATTTGAGAGTATTGATTCTCTTTGAATAATATTGTAGGTGGATGAGAAACAGGCTCATCTATCAGATCACAATTTTGCCCATGGAACTGTTTTCTAAAGAAATCCAGGTGGCAGCTTATTTCCATTATTAATTTTTTAAACTTTCACAATAATGTTTAAAGACTATTATTAAAAGTAATATTTTAGTCAACATTTATTTTAACAAGAAGAATATTGAATATACCATGGATTGCTAAGAGAAGAAACAGATTCATCCTGGAGAGGGTGAAACCAGGCTGCTCCTTGGAGACAAGGATTCTGAAGCTTCGTCTGACATACTTTGGACGTGTTAAAACAAGGACTCAGTCCTTGGAGAGGGGTAACATGAGGATGGAGGGACAGAACAAGAGAGGAAGACCCTCAATGAGGTGGATTGATTCAGTGACTGGGGTAATGGAGTTAGGTGTGTTGGAGACAGTGAGATTGGCACAGGATAGAGCAGGGTGTAGCTGTTGTAAATAGAGTCTCAGGCAACTCGATGGCACAATAACAGCAACATGTGCCAGACGCTATATTAACTATTTTATGTGAATTATTTTGTTCAGTATTAACAATTATATTGGAGTAATAATATCCACTTATATATGAGAAACTGAAAGGTTAAGTTTCTTAGAAAGGATAATTTTCTTTTCTTTTCTTTTTTTTAAAATTTTTGTGTGCGTGTACCGTCAAATCAGATCTGACTGGTACTGGAGGAGATTGCCCCTCCTTCCCCGGCAGAGCATCTGGTGGATTCGAACCGTGCGCCTCTGGGATTGTAGTTGCAGCTCCTTGCCACTAGGCCACCAGAGCTCCCCAGAAAGGATCATTTTCTTTGGTTATTATCTTTAAAAGAGAGCTCTGGACGCCCAGTGGTAAGGAGCTGCACTGTCAACTCAAAGGCAGGAAGTTTAAATCTCCAGCTGCTCCATGGGAGAAAGATGGGTAATCTCCTCTCTCGTGATTTTTTGTCTCTGGAAACCTGCTGGAGGTCAGCTACACTGTTGTTATTGGTTTTTATGTGCCATCGAGTTGCCCATGGTTCATGATGACCTTATGTACAATAGCTCTGAATCCTGCCCTATCTTGAGCCAGTCTCACTGACTCCCAACACACCTAATCCCATTACCCCAGTTACCGTGTCAATCCATCTTATCCAAGGTCTTCCTATCCTGTGCTGTGCCTCCACCCTTCCAAGAATAATATCCTTCTCCAAAAATTGGTCCCTCCTGGCTACATTCCCAAAGTATGTTGTTGTTGTTATTATGTGCTTTCGAGTCACCTGTGACTCATAACGACTCTATGTACAACAGCCCTAAACCCTGCTCGGTCCTGTGCCAATCTCACTGTCTCTGACACACCTACCTCCATTACCCCAGTCACTGAATCAATCCATCTCATCAAGGATCTTCCTCTCTTGCACTATCCCTCCAGCCTCCCAAGCATGATGTCCCTTTTCAAGGACTCCTTGCAACATGTTCAAAGTATGTCAGACGAAGCTTCAGAATCCTTGCCTCCAAGGAGCAGCCTTCACCCTCTCCAGGACTAGCAGTCCATGGTATATTCAATACTCTTCTCCAGCACCATAGCTCAAAGGCATTAATTCTCCTTCTATCACCTCTAGTCATGGTTCGGATTTCTGATGCATATGTGCTTCCAAGTCCTAGCCTCCAAGAAGAACCTTGGTTTCACT